CAGTGACTTACTCACCGCCACGTCCCCAGGGCTCACCCTGATCAGCACATAGTGAAGGGAGAGGACCCCAGCATTCCTGCTGGTAGTTCCGAGACTCAGGGTGCTCAAGCGTGGGCCTGTGGTGGGTAGTCAGAAGGGTGCAAAAGAGTATGAAAGAAACAAAGACAAAGGGGGTAATATGGTGACCAATTTTGCCTATTTATTACTGCTTTTGTCTGGACCATAGAAGCTAGACTGCTGTCTATTCCTCATGTCACCGTTCTCTGCTTCTGCAGATAATGTGTCAGGTCGTGAGTCAAAAGCCACTTCTAGTCATAGCAAAGCTGATGCCTGAGAGATGGCCAGGAGTGGCTGCCTCTCTTGGGTTGTCGGGGACACGACAGAGGCACGGGGAATAAGCGCTGCTATTTGTAAACAGGGAGTCTCCTCGGTCACCTTGATTGCCTCCTGATCTCTGGGAAGGCTGAGGCATGGAGCGTAGCCAATTTGAATTTGAAAATGTCCACACAGGTCTCCTTGGTTCTGACATTACAGGCCCAGAGGTTCTGCCAAGCCTTCTGGTGATAATACAAACACGATAATTATAGCCGCCTGTATGCACAACAAATTACTGCAAACCAGGTGGCTTCCAACAATAGAAATGGATTAGTTTGCAGTCCTGGATCATGGTTCCAGGCCCTGCTCCCTCTGAAGCCTCTAGGGGAGGAAACTGCCTGGTCTCTTCCAGGCTCTTGGTGGCTCCAGGCAGCCCTTAGTTTATGGCTGCATGATTCCAGTCTCTGCCTCGTCTTTACATGGCTTCGTCCTCTTTTCTCTCTGTGTCTCTTCTTAGTGTGTCTTTTTTAAAAGACAGCTGTCATTGGATTTAGGTCCCAGTTGGAGAATCCAGATGCTGTCATCTTGAGATCCCTAATTTAATTGTGACTACAAAAATTCCTTTTCCAAACAACATCACATTCATAGGTTTCTGTGATTGGGTCTTGGACATATCTCTTTGGGGGCTGGCCACCCTTCAAACCCACTACACCATTGTGCTCAGAGAATATGGGAAAGGCAAGGAATTTCTGCTCTCATTGTACACAGCAGTTGTAGCTATAAGTAAACACATATAGAACATTAACAGCACTACCAGTCTGCCATTTGAGATGAAAAAATGTTGTCTGGGGGAATATTCAAGCCAAGTCAAAGGCATAAGTTTGAGATCTCTAGTAAATACCTTTCCCTCTGTTCAGTCTTGGAACTTCAAGGTCCACGTTCTTTGTGAGTACTCTGTTTTTAAGGCCCTTCAGGGCTGAGCTTAATTCTCTGTCCAAGGGAGACTACTGATATTGGTGTTTGGTAGCTTTAAGGAACTGAAGGGTTGACCAGAAGACCAGAAAGAAATGTCTTTGGCTGCTTGGCAGCTGGAACTCTGACAAGGTCATCCTGTTGTCTAAGCCTAAGGAGGAGTCAGGGTGAGCTAAGTGATGGAGTAAGTGTGACTGCAAAAGCCAGGTCTTTCTTAAATTGTAAAATCTTAGAATCAGTCCTCCTATTTGACCATCAGATTCAGCGGTAAGGTTTTCTGTGGGACAATCTGCGAAGAAGTTTTACGATTCATGTTTGGCTATCTGGTGCCTCTTCCTATGTCCACCATTAATGGTTAGTTGCGTCTTCTGTCTATTTTAACTATTAATACAGACCTCACCCTGGGTTCAGTAATGGGCAAGCCAGTCCTCACCTCCCTGTGTACAGGACCAGAATGTTCCCAGCAACTTAGTTCCTCCCTTCAAAAATATTGAACCTTAGCCGTTGCTTCACATATCTGAGAATCATGAGTCACTAGTGGCACAAGGGACTGAATGATCTAATCTTAGCGTTTGCCTTGGCATGGTTAAAATGTGCAGTTCGGAGGCAGCTGGGTAGCAAACCAAGAAGAAAGTGGCTGAGAATTACCATATTTTGCTGTGTATAATGCACTCCCGTGTATAATGTGCACCCATGTTTTTGGCCCAAGTTTTCAGGAAAAAAAAATATTTCATTTTAATTTTTTAATTCAATTATTTATTTATTTATATTTACAAACAGAACTGATTACCGTATTCCAGAGTATTATTTTGCATACAGATATTGTTACTGTTTTCTAGAGTTACACTTCTAACGCATGAGCATAAATAAAAAAATTAAAAACATTTATATAGATATGGAATTAGAACCACCCATGTATAATGTGCATCCTTATTTTTCCCTCAAAAATTTGGGCAAAATAGCGCACATTATACACGGCAAAATCCCGTAGATGGGAAACAGTGGCACCTTCTCCTACTCTGGAGATTTCTACAAGAAACTGCTTGAGCTGCTGTGGGACAGGTCAAGGGATAAACTTTAAAGGAAGAGGTGAGGGAATAAGAGTGTGAGGTGCAGCGTGGACTCTCCAGGGGTTGCATTAGAAATAAAGCAGGGATGAAGGGAAGCAGGAGCCGTCCTGAGAAACGGGCTGGCAGCAATAACAGGAAATAGGCCCTGAAGAGCATTGGCGCCAGGCTGGAGCCAATATCGTGGGGGCTGGCTGGTCCTGGGAGGCGTGCTGATCAGAGAGCCACATCTAAATTAATGGGAGGGCATGGAGTGAAGAGGGAAGAGGGATGGAGTTCAGGGGGGCCCAAGACCCAGAGGGTGCTGGGAAGCAAACCAGGTGCGAGGCAAAAAGGCAGTCAGAGGAGAGGCATGGCGTGACTCGAGCCTGGCACTCCCAGGCGAGGGCTGTGCCCGGCTGCTCCCCCAGGCATCGCTGGGCACAGGGCCCTGGGCGCGCACAGGGCCAGCCCCTGGTGCCCATTGATGGCTGGACATTGGTCAATCAGGGTTGAGCAGCTGGTCAGGAGCCGCCGTAACAATCTCTCAGAGTGATTTCCAATCTCAAAAAAGGGGGTTAAGGGTTTATCATTCAAAAAGTGAAAAGGAATTAAGAAGAGGGCCCAGGACTTTACCTCATGGACAGATTAAATTTTGGTAATCAAATTTGAAGGTAGTTTGTAAAAATGCATTGCAATCTGATGACTTGCTTCTCAAATATTTATCAGCTTTAAAGATTACAGAGTGGGCCTATAGGAATGACCCCTCCAAGTCTCCTGCTAGTATTCACATGAACTGCCTTTAAATACCCTGGTAACTGGTCATAGCAATGTAAACAGACACCGCGGAGAGGCAGGGACCAGCTGTGCGGCAGGGTCCCCAGCAGGGGTGCGGCAGGGATGGAGCAGCCCCGGCTTTTTCAGAGGAGGGGACATCTGTGGCAACCCTGGGAGACCGCGCTCAACATCTGGCTTCAGTGCAGCCCCTGGAGGGCTGAGCAGACCTGGGAAAGCGGAGCCTCCATTTCTTCACCTGATATTTGGGGTACAAACATCCCCATTCTAGACTTCTTGGGAGGATTGTAAGTCATGACTGGGACATTTCCTCCCTGCCCCCAGAAACCAAGGACACACTCAGGACAGGGCGGCTCTTGTGACCTGCAAGTCAGGCTAGAAGAGAGTCGCTCAGGGCTGGTGACCCAGCCGAGACCCAGAGGCCCCTGGGACTGAAGGCTGGAGGAGGGGGTGGAGGGTGGGCCTCAGCCGATGCCGCTGGCTCACGTCTCAGCAGCTGTGACTTGAGGAGGGCTTATTGCCCTGAGTAAGGTTGTATTTCACACTCGCCTTGGAGGGGTGGTGCCTTCCAACCACAGATGCTGTTGGAAGGTGAAATGCCGTCTTTCCCTTCATGGCATCCTGAAGTTCGCTCTCCATTCCTGGTCCTCTCTGGGTGTTCTGGTGGCCATGGCAGCTCGACCTGTTGGCAGGTGATATTGGACTCCAAGAAAGAGCCCAGTGATTTTCCCAGAGCTCTGTGGAGATGTGGAGGGAAGACACGATCTGAACAGGAGAATACAGATGGAACTTCTGGAAGGGTTTTCTTTCGTTGTTGGCGTCATTTGCTGAGGGCTGAGAGTGTGGTATAGGTTTAAATGGGAAATAGGTTACTTGAGGGTATTCTTTTACCCACAGTCCCTGGTTTTGCTCATTTCCGAATTCTGCCTAGAAGAACGGTGAGTAAAGATTGCTGCATGATTGGAGTCCTTTGCATAAAGTATTAAAAACAAACTTCCTTGATAGGAATAGCTTAAATGAGAAAGCAGGAATAGAATTTTTACTTGCAATAAATATTTTGTATTAGTCAACGTAAGACAACTTGGCTCTATAAATCTAGATACCCAAGTATGTTATATGAATACTCTTTCTAAGGTGCCATCTTTGGAAAATAATCCAAAATATGTGAAATGCTTAATTCATAAAAACATTTATCATAGAGCTATTTATAGCAATGGTAAGTTAAAAACACCCCATTGCTAAAAATTTGGTTAAATAAAATTGAAGATGTCCACTTGATGGGATGTTAGGTAGTCATTTAAAAGTAGAGAAGCTTTAAGACAAAGTAGTTCAATGTATTACTAGTGAAAAATACTGGCTGAAAATTGGGGTGCAAGGTGATTATAACTATCTCAGTACTGTAGGTGCATAGAACAACACTACCAGAAAGTAAACGGAAGTATTTAAAAGAATGAAAAAGTTCTGTTTATCTTCTAATTTTTCTTTAGTTTCTGTAACTTAGTGGCCTCTTTTTTGGTAATAAAAAAAACAAACAAACCCAGAAACACAGAGAAGAGAGAAGGAAATAAAATCATGGTAGTTATTATGATGAAAAAGAAGATAACGAGAAAGAAGATGAACATTTGGATAAACACAAGAAGTGGTCACAGGGGTGTGGAAAGGAAGGAGCCCTGCTTGTGACATGGAGCAAAACACGCCCTGTGGTCACCATGTGAAAAGCCGCCTTCGTGGGCGCTGCCCTGTCCTGTCCTACGTTTCAGCCCCTTGCTGGGCTGTGAGCGAGCGGAGGCGAGGAAGGTGCTAGGGGCACTGAGCGCTGTTTTGTCTGACTGAGCCCTCCCGCCTTCCCGGTTCCCTGCCGTGTCCCTTTTTGTGCCTTCTGGGGTCAGGAAGACAAAGGAGGCCAGGTGGTGAGGGCGGCGAGGAACCTCGGTCGCACCGGGCGCTCAGGAATCCGAGGCTCACCGCCCACAGGCTTGACGTTTTCTGAGAAGAAAGCTCAGTCCGTGGGTAACAAGGTATTTCTTTGAAGCAGGGTTTCTAGTGAGGAGACGGGGAACGTATGTGAAGATCAAAATTCCCAGCACGTCGCGATACCTGTGGACCCACAGGTCTGTGCAGAGCTCTCCCCTGGAATGGACAGAACCTGAGACTGCTCCCTTATTTTGGGGAAAGCAGGTGGTAAATGACGTGCTGAGGTGGCTTCTGGGAACGGCGTGGCTCTTGCTCCAAAGGAGCACAAAGTGTCTTGAGTTTCAATTTCTTGGGGCCTCAGCTTCAGCTTTCACTTCCCTTGTTGGTCACCAGAAGCTGTATGCTGGGGACAGTGTCAAATTCCCCAAATGACTGCAGAAATGAGAGCTCAAAGCCAGGAGGCTCCTGTTGGTTCGAACTGATTTGTTTGATTGGGGGGCTACAGCCCTAACTTTGCTTGAAACCATGTCAGCAAGCGGTACAAATACGGGGGAAAGGAGGGGAGTGGATTTTCCATAGGTTAGTTGAGCGTAAAGTTCTCTCAAATGGATTTCTTTACAACTGACATTTCTGTTGTTGCTTTCCACACTGCTGCGCTAGTTTCAATTTTTTTTCTTTAGCTACCTTGAGGCGGTCTTTTTGGTGAGGCTGTCATTCCAGGGCTTTTTCCAAAAATATTTTGGGTAAAATGCTGCTCAGTTTTCCCAGAGTGATGCGAGGAAATGATCCTATTTGTCTCCCACAAACATCGCAGAATGCAACTTGCTCTAAGGATGTCTCAAAGGCAGGGGAGCCACCTGTGCCACATCTGCCTTTGCCCTCTGCTCTGCCCCTTCCTGCTGGCTCCTGCCTGGTCCCTGAAGAGGCGTACGTGGGGGTGGGCTCAAAGTGTGGCTGTGCCACTGCGGAGCTGGCTTTTGCCTCTGTGGGCCCCTCCTGTAGTAGCAGGGGGCAGTTATGGCAGGAACCGGGAACGGAGCCTCAGGGGCCGGCCGCTGTGTGAGTTAACGGAACTGTTTGTGGAAGGGAGGGCAGCGTTTTCCTCATTTAAATGGCATGCCGGACCCAGCAATCTCTAGGCTTCCCTCTAAGGGTAAAATTTTGTGGTTCTGTCATCTGACCCTGGCACAGGTATTCCTCCGGCCTTGGAGACGCAGTGGTGGGTTAGACAGGTTTCATGGGTCCTTCATTTTGGGGTGGGGGCAGGGCAAGGTCGGGGATGGAGGGTGAGGGGGAAAAGCAAGATGAGGCTGATACGTTCTACGGGGAAAACCACTGGGTGAGGGCCGATGGCTCCCGTGGGAGAGCTGGGGGGTGGGATTTGTCCGCAGGCCCATCTGTTGGGTGTGTGGCAGGAGGAAGTGAGTCGCGGGATGGAGTGGGAAGCAAAGAGGAATGAAGAATAGGGTCAGCGGGGCCAGGGCTCTTATTCGGAGTCTGGCTAGGTCACCCAAAGCTCCCAGTGCCCGGCACGCGGGCCGCCGCACTGGCTGACTGGGGACAGGGAGTCGACGGTCGCTGCTCTGCTCCCCACGCACACGCAGCCCTGCGCGCCGTGCATTCCCTGCCGTAGGCCTTTGCCTTTATCGACAATGGTTCTCCCTCTTCTTCCTCATCATCAGAAGCTCAGTTCAGACGGTTTTTTTCTTTCCTGCTGTTTAAATAATGGCTTTATTGAGACACAATCCATATACCATAAAATTGACTGTTTTATAGCATATAGTCAGTGGTTTTTAGTACATTTGCACAGTTGTATACGATTTCTCTTTTTTGTACACGGGTGAACAAAACATAAATAGTTTATGCTGATTATGATTTCAGATATGTCTGTACTTACTGCTTTCCTTTCAACTTTGTGTATTTACCATGGGTTCTTGTTTGTTTTCAGTTTATCTGTTTCCCTTCCCGCCCTTGCTTGGATCCACTGGGCTGTCTGTATTGCCGTTTTCCTCTTACCATTTGTAAGCCACACAAACTCCTGTTCACCAAGTCACCATTCTCAAATGTTCATCAAGCGTTTAAAATCGTATTTTTTTGTTACTCTACAGTTAAACACTATCTCCCCAATACGACAAAAACCTTAACATACAAATTCTCCTTTTATGTTTGTTAAACCCATTGGGTATTGGTATTCTTATGTGGTCATTTTAGATTAAATTGCGTTGCACTTATATTTTGGTTTGCTGCTCTATATTTGGTACCCTGTACATCCTTTTTCATTTTGCTGGAACGCACACCAGCAATTCAGGGAGGATCTGAGAGAGAGAAACCTCTTATGTGCTCATATGTCAGAAAATGACTTTCCTTTTCTCTCCCTCTGGAAAGCTAGTTTGGTTGAAAATAGAATTCTAAATTAAAAATTGTCTTCAAAGCCATTACGATCTTTTCCCCAGCATTCAAATGTCAAAAGCCTGATGCCAACTTATTTCTCATTCTTTTATAGATTATCTGTTTTGTTTTGCTTTGCTTTTCCTCTATGGGAACTTTGAGGATGTTTGCTTTCCATTCATTCAACCATTATTTATTAAGAAGCTATTAAGTGCAAAGCACCATTTCACCTGCTGAAGGTAAAACGATGAGCAAAACAGACTCCCTTGCCCTCGAGGCGCTTGAGTTCCAGCGGGAGGAGCAAGGGGACACAGCGGAGGCCTGGCCGGGGTCTGTCAGCGAGAAGTGGTGAGGGGAGCAACAGAGCAGCAAAGGGCAGGGGCCGCGCTGGGAGGGAGCCACTCAGTGTGGGTGATGCGCCAGGCAGGCCAGGAAAGCAGTGACGGAGATGGCCTGCAGCCGCAGCGCGGAGGGGCTGGAGGACGCCCCTAAGGGGCATTTCTGGGCAAAGGCCCCGAGGTGGGGACCAGGGATGTTTAAGGAAAAGCAAAGAGTTCTTATGTTTAGTTGGAATATACCAATGAAAGGGAGAATTGTGGGAGATAAGATCAAAGAGATGATGATATTGACATTGATTTTAAAAGCTTCATTAATAATTCCCTGGGCAGTCCCGTTTGGAAGGAGATGTGTAACTGGGAATTGCGGCCTGCGTAACAAATGCCGGAACAGAGGCCGAGGGGGACCGGCAGGCCGTCTGCGTGGGGAGTGGCGATCAGGACGGGCTCCTGCGGAGCACGATGCCCCAGCTGACTCTGGGAGGAGCACTGGGAATGAACCGGGCATGTCAGGGCCGTCACCTGCAGAGAACACAACCCGCTGAAACTGGTTTAAGTAAAATATCTTGGAGGGTCCGGGGACCAGGCTTGCTGCCACAAAGCGACAATCCGTGTGGTCAGGAGGAACCTCGTATTTTGGTTTGCTGCTCTATGTTTGGTACCCTGTACACCCTTTTTCTTTTCGCAGGCACACACACCAGCAGTTCAGGGAGGTATACAATATCTTGGGCATTTCTGGAAGCTGCAGGTGGAGTCGTTGCCCAAGCAGCGACAGCTCTACCTGCAGCTTCCGGAAATGCCCAAGGCCGCCGCTGGCCCAGACAGAGCACCCAGACATGCCCATGCCGTCTTGGCAAGTGGCCTCATCGCTCTGCAGTGGCACCCCTCCTGCACCTCACTTTAGCGCAACAGACTAGCAAAAACTGGGTCACATACAAGGAAAAGCTCTATACAGAAAGGCAGGCCAGAAAGGTTAGAAACGGTGTTCCATGAACTAACTTATAGAACCTGCTGTGAACCAAGTAAAGGAAATAGGAAAGTGAGAAATCCAACGAAGAGGGGGTTTCCAGACATTCTGGCACACCAGTCATGCGATTAGAACCAAATTTCTTACGGCCTTCCCTCCTTCTTAAGAGACACAAACTTGCTTCTCCAGATTGGACAACAACAAGGGGTGCGTGTGTGTGACACTTTGGAGACCTTGGCCAAGTGACTTAACCTGCCAAGGGCTCAGTTTCTTCATCTGAAATTCAATATAGTCGTATATACACAACCCACAGGCCTGCTGGGAGGACTGAATGGGTCCAGGTATGGGTGTGCGTTGCCTGTAGTCCTGGGCACATAGGAGCGATTTAACATGGGCTTCTCAGGTCTGAAAGAGAGACATCGTGGCAGTTTATAAGAAAGAAGGGACTTGAGACAGATAATATGCGATGGATCTTACTTTCTTCTTTCAAGAGTTGGTCCTTCTAGGTCAAGAGCCAAAGAAAATGATGAGTAGAACGTATGGTGGAATACGCATCCTTGACTGAGATATGAACACCATACTGTTCCGTGTCTACTTGATGGAACCACTTTTTGCGAGTACAGGGATCACACATCACACAGGGCAAGTCTATCGGGAGTCAACCTTTTAAGTGGGTTACATAGAAATTCTGTGTCATGCCCACAAAAGCAGAGGTTGTCTGGGGTCATCAGGTTGTCATCCTCATCGTCATCCTCATTTTAGATTAGTTTTATTGAGGTATGAGCTATATGCAAGGAACTTGACCAATGTTAAGTGTAAATTCAGTGAGCTTCAATAAGTAACTGCAGTTGTAACCAGCATGATATAAAACATTCCATCACCCCACAAGCGACCCTGTGGCCTCTTAACTCAATACCTTCCCCGGACACGTGAACGACACTGGCTTTCTTTCAATTGCATCAGTTTTGATTTTTTAGGAAAAAAAACTCATACATTATGTAGTCTTTTGTGACTGGAATCTTCTATTTAGTAAAGTTTCTCAACTTTTTTTTTTTTTAATCATTGCCTCACTAAACAACCTTTAGTCATTTTTCCCCTAATTGTCTCTCACCACTTTCTGAAATTTTAATACCACCGATAGGCTGTATGTATGTTTACATAGTATATGTATGTTTGTGTTTTATACATAAAAAGTAAAATATGTCACACCTCAAGAACAAATTTTTGCTCATTTAGGGGTGGTATTGAGAATACATGGTTTAGTAAGATGCTTTTGCTATTCATTGGTATTGTGTGTGTCAGTTGGTTCGTTTTATTTGCTGGGTAATGTTGGTTGTATAAAGAGATATTCAAGAAATGAATAAGAATAACTGCAAGTGTGTTACAAAGGTCAAGGACTCAGTGCATACTTTAACTACTGTTCTTTCTTAAATTTGATCCTCAGTTTTCCTGTGTCAGTAGACAGACCTGTAATCACAGTCATTCAAGTCAGAAATCTGGGCGTGATTGAGACCCTTCTTCCCCCCGTTTCCTCATATCCAGCCCATCAAATCCTGTCTGTGTCGCCTCCATATTAGTTCTTGACTCAGGTCCCAAGAGATCAGATTTTGCCATAACCCAGAACATTCTAAACATGTAAGGATTTTGATTCTTTTCTTTAAAATAACAAGGAATTTAAATAAGAAAGGGAATGACTTGATTAGATTAATTAAAAGATTACCAATTCTTTCATTTAGTAAAGAATACATTAGAATGTAGATGATGAATTAGAAGGTACCAAGACTATTTAGAGAAAGGATTTGGAGTTCCAAGGAAAAATAATCGTGGTTCTTTTATGCTTTTGAGGTGGGGGATGGGAAAATTGAGAAACATGCTGTGTTTTCAGTGGGGCTCATGCAAAGAACTTCGCCAAGGCCCTAGTGCTAGGCGATATCATAACTACGATGAGAAATTCAGATATGCCCTCCTCTTGCTTCCTGCTGCCTTGACTTAGCCAATTTTTCCCCCCAAACTAACCAGTATTTTAAATGAATAAAGTATAAATACTCTTGGATCATTTGCTGATGAGCTGGAAGGAATCAGAGAATTAGAATCATACTTAAAAGAAAAAACAATATTTTGTGTCCCTAAAGGACCCCTCACCTTTGTACCACCCTGCGGTCCCCCCGGCAGCAGCTGTAGTGCCCGTGCCCATGTTTCAGCGTCGGGCGGCCTGCGGTCCAGGTTTACGTGCGCCATTTGACGAAGTGCACATCTGCACGTCCCTGGGGACGTCTGCATGGGGTCTTTTACCTATTAAAGACTGAGAATCAATGACTTAGTCTGTTTTCGGTCTAGAGCATATAGACACACACATGACATAGTCTTCATTCCGAAGGGACACACAGTTTACGTCATGTAAATAGATACATAACAGAGTCACATTGCCAATGCCGGGGAGGTGTGTACAGGAAGCTCTGGCAGCTTGTCAGTTATGCCGTGCCTTGTCTGTTCCAGGTGACTTCTGAACTATGACTGCCAACAATTCCTCCTGCAATCCTATTCTGACACCCCACTTAACCAGGCTCTATGGCACGGTGCTCGTGGGGGGGCTGGCGGGCGTCATCTCCATTCTGTTCCTGCTGGTGAAGATGAACACCCGTTCTGTGACCACCACGGCCGTCGTTAACCTGGTGGTGGTCCACAGCGTCTTCCTGCTGACGGTGCCGTTCCGCCTGACCTACCTCATCCAGCAGAAGTGGACATTTGGGTTGTCCTTCTGTAAGTTTGTGAGCGCCATGCTGCACATCCACATGTACCTCACGTTCCTGTTCTACGTGGTGATCCTGGTCATCAGGTACCTCATGTTCTTCAAGCACAAGGACAAGGTGGAATTCTACAGAAAACTGCATGCTGTGGCTGCCAGCACCGGCCTGTGGGTGCTGGTGATTGTCATTGTGGTGCCGCTGATTGTCTCTCAGTATGGAAGTATGCAGGACTATGATAAGGAGCAGTGTTTTAACTTCCACAAAGAGCTTACTGAAACATATGCACAAATCATCAACTATTTGATAGTCATCATCGTCATAGCCGTTGCGCTGATTCTGTTGGTCTTCCAGATCTTCATCATCATCTCGATGGTGCGGAAGCTGCGCCACTCCTTACTGTCCCACCAGGAGTTCTGGGTCCAGCTGAAGAACCTGTTTTTTATAGGGGTCATCGTTGTTTGCTTCCTTCCCTACCAGTTGTTCAGGATGTATTACTTGTACACCGTGGCGCACTCAGCTGACTGTAACAACGACGTTGCCTTTTATAATGAAATCTTCTTGAGTGTAACGGCGATCAGCTGCTTTGATTTGCTGCTCTTCGTTCTTGGGGGAAGCCACTGGTTTAAGCAAAAGATAATTGGCCTGTGGAATTGCCTTTTGTGCCGTTAGCCAGCAAACACAGTATTCAAATTTACTTCCTTTATATTGGGGGTGAAAATGGGTAGCGGCGGGTAGGAAGGCAGTTCTATTACTTGATTAAACTGTGTCTTGATGCAGCCAAATGAAAGGACTATAAAATGCCAGAGCATTCATTTATTCCAGTCCTTCCTTAGTTCCTACCATCTCTAAGTGATGCCCATGCAAAGACTAATGAGGTTCAGTCCTCCTGGAGGTGCAACACTGCATCATTTTTCAACATACAGAGTCTGCTTGGCCTGTCCAAGCGCCGCAGGTCTAATCGTTCCTGAGTTTTGCTAGTTTATTTTCATCTCCTCAGTCAGAAACACGGTCTTTCTTAAGCCCAGTAGTTGGTTCTTTACATTCCACATAAAACCTCAGGAGAACTAATTCTGGCTGCGATTCATCTTGAAAGCACCAACTTTACTGTGCTAATTAGAGAAGATGTCCATTCAACTCACATGCTGACAAGAAAAAAGATAAGTGGGGATACCAGCAAGAAACTTTTCTAGATTATCGTAACTCTGGTAGGAAGTCACTTATCTGGAAAGCAAGAGAAACAGAACTCCTGGACTTCTACTCTAACGAGGCTATCTAGAATTATCCTTTGAAAGGTCAAGTTTAAGGACTTGGATTAATTCCCTCAGTGTCTCCAAAAGTCATTTATAAACTTACTAATTGTATTTAAATAATGGTGAGCGTGTAACTGAGAGAATGCTCCTCACCAACGTGCTACCAGGCATTAAAAGGAGTACCCAAGGGAAGGGGTTCGTTTTTGTTCCTTTTTGGTTTGAAGAATTTCTAGAGGTCTTGGTACAAAGTTAATTTAGATTTTCCTTGGAGACAGAAAGCTATACTGAAATCTTTGGCGTTCTCTTCAACCCTTAAAGTCAGATGTCTTTAAGTAAATGAAAGCCATATTCTTTAAAATAGAACTTTTGAGAAATATGTAGAAAAATCATGGAAGTTTGAGATTAGGATGCTAAATTAATACATAAGCTTGTGGGTTTTCTTCTCTCTTGCCCATATTTCTACTATTTTCCTCAAAGCTTCCTGAATCTTGAAACCTTCTAAGGAAATGATTCAGTTTCATATTTAATACTTCAGAAAATCTGAAGCAATTCTTGGTAGGAATAGAAGAAATGAATGACTTAAGGTAACTTTTTTTTTTCAAGAGAGATAAAAGTTCAAGATTTAAAGATTTTTTTCTTAATTTGTAATACTATATGGATCCATAAATGCAACAGGTGAATACGAAATGCCCTGTGAGTTTCTTTGATCACTAAAATTCCTGAGTCATAGAAATTAATTTTGAGGAAGAAAAGGCAGCAACATACCGAATTTAACTTTTCCCCAAATTTTGTCTGTTTTAAGTGTTCTTTTATGCATCCTTTTTTCTTTTTTGAGTTTTATATATATAATTTCTTATTTTCACTCTTTTCTCATTTTTCTTAGTTTTTTTCCTTTCTCATTTTGACCCATAACATTTGTAAGAAAATTTCTAAGACCCATAAGAATTTTAAGAAAATTTGTAACGTCCATAAAATCTGTAAGATTATTACAGTAAAATATTTTAAAACTTTTAAAATTATTTATGAAAAACACATAGACTGATGGATCAGAATAGAGAGCCCATAAAAAAACCCCATGCCAAAACGGTCAATTAATACATGACAAAGGAGGCAAAAATATACGATGGGGTAAAGGCAGTCTATTCAAGAAATGATGTTGGGAAAATTGGACAGATGGAAAAAAATGAAATAGACTATCTTTTTAATACCATACATAAGAATAAACTCAAGACTGAAATGTAAGACCTGAAGCCATAAAACTTCTGGAAGAAAATATGAGCCATAAACTCTCTGACATCATTATTTCTCTTGAATCTCCTTGGGGAAAGGAAACAAAAGAAAAAATAAGCAAATGGGACTACCTCAAACTAAAAAGCTTTTGTATGGCAGCAAAGACCATCAACAAAACGAAAACCGTCTCCTGTACGGGAGAACATACTTGCCAATGATACATCGGATAAGGGGTTAATATCAAACATTTATAAGGAACTCATACAACTTAATGAAAAAAAATTCAATTAAGAAATGGGCAGAAGACATGACTAGACATTTCTTCAAAGAAGACACACAGATGGCAAACAGACATATAAAAAAGACGCTCAATGTCACCAATTATCAGAAAAATTCAAACAATGCCATATCACCTCATGCCTGTCAGAACGGCTCTCATCAATAAGTCAGCGAACAACAAGTGCCGACGAGGACGTGGAGAAAGGGGAGCCCTTGTGCACCGTTGGTGGGGACGCACATTGGTGCAGCCACGGAGGAAAGCAGGGGTGGTTTCTCAAAAAATTAAAAAAATAGAAATTACGTTATCACCCGCAATTCCGCTCCTGGGAATCTATCCAAAGACTAATCCAAACACTAATTCAAAAAGATATATGCACCCCTATATCCATCGAGGCATTATTTACAATAGTCAAGATTTGGAAGCAACCCAAGTACCCATCAATAGATGATTGTGTCGAGAAGATGTGGTACCTATAGACAATGGACTAGTACTCAGCTATGCGAAGGACTGACATTTTACCATTTGCAGCAACATGGATGGAACTCGAGGGTATTATGCTACGTGAAATCAGCCAGACAGAGGAAGGCATATACTGTATGATTTCATTTATACGTGGAATCGAATGAACAAAGAAAACAAATAAAACAGAAACAGATTCATAGATACAGTGAACAAAATGAGGGTTGCCAGATGAGAGGGGGTTGTGGGAAAGGGCGAACAAAGGTGAAAGGAGCAGGAAGTTACAGAATCGTCGTGGGGATGTAAAATGCAGCACAGGGAGTATAGTCAGAAATGCGGTAACTGTGTGTGGGGCCGGTGCGGACTGACCGTATGGAAGGGAACACTTTGTAAACTATACAGTTGTCTATCCACTATGCTGTACACCTGAAACCAGTACAAAATTTTGAGAAAGAAATAGAAAAATGTATGGGAATTACATCAAGTTTCTCTTTTTACATTTCTGTCTTACTGTCATCTGTTAGCTTGTAGATTATATTATAATCTCCTCCAGATTTTAAATATGTTGAGGTCAGACAATTATGCTTTTCTCTGTGTTATTATGTTTTATGATGAAGGGCCTATTTCTGCGGACCTATAAGAAATGTTACCCAAAATGTGGAAATGGCCTATTTTATAATATATATTATTTAGCAATATTTACAGAATAAACTGAAGTTTTCAGTTTGCATGTGCTTTGTCTCTGATTGCTGTGAAGGTACGTCTCATGCAGGAGTTGGGGTGAGCGCGACCTCTCAGGTCACTTTTGGATGTAACCACTATCAGAGGGTGCTGCTGGCGTTTGGGGACTGGGGCCAGAGGCAGGACGTCTTGCCTTGCACCCATCTGTCTGCACAGTAAAGAACAATCAGGTCTTGGTCCATATTTAAATGTTCTTCAGACATTCATGAAGTGAAGCATATGCTCGTAATAATCAGAGCAGGTAGGTTTTATTCAGTTTTCATAAACATGTAGTGTTTTCTTGGTGTGGTTCTAATATTTTGAATTTCCCCCAAATGCAGCTAGCATGGATATAGAGGAAAGACTTAACGCTGTTTTCCTTAGAACTTTACCAAGAGTTGTTCATTCCTTTGGAAAAGTCACACTCTGAGTGACGACACTGCCAGAGGCATTAAAAGACAACACTCCGTGCTTGTGAACGATACTTGCAGTTGTTGTATCCAGCCAGGTATTCCATCCAGGTACCAGCACCAGACTGTCTCCTTTGATGAAGACTGAACATTCACACACTGAAATGCATGTTATTTTATTATAAATAGTTTTTGTTGTTGATATTACAGTTAGGGCATTATGTCTGTAATCGTTTAGGAGGGTTATATTGTCTGCGAAGTTTTTTTTAAAACGGTGAAAGTATTACCACACATTTGCAGTAAAGGGTAAGGCATTGGCTCCGCAAGAGTTAAGAACCACTGAGCTACCACCAACCGGTTCAGTTTTAAAAGGAAGATTTATAGTTATGACATTATGAACAGAAAAATAATACTATGTTTTGGGAATATTGAACCTCAGCTTGGTTCAATTCTAGATGATTTCTTTTGTTTCTGTAGTGATCGAGAGAGTAAGTACGACCTTCAAGGAAATGCGAAGAAAATATCAATGTTTATTTCCCTTTTTGACAAGACAGTGGTATTTCCTTAAGCCTCACAACTCTCAGATTGGCTTATGGTCGATATCACCAGCTTTTGAACCCAGCTGGTGGATGATGACAGTTTTGGGGGCCCAGGCAGAAAGGTCGTTTCTGGCATCCGTTAAATGGAACTCAACTCCGCCTTTGTTCACTTCTTAATTTTCCTAAGAGTCACTGAGTTTCCCAGCTTTCTTCCTCGACCTCATATACAATAAATTAGGGAGAAACAGGCTATTTTACTTGTGGGCAAAATGAGCTTTGTCTGGAATGATTCAAGAAAAGCTGAAAATCCCCTGCTGCTCCCCAAATCCCCCTGGATGGGGCTGCCATCAGAGCTGAATGCCTAGTTAATATGGCAGGTCTTCCGAAGGAGGACAGTGGGCCGATCCCTTCTTGGTCACCGGTTCTTGCCTGTGAAGCCAGATGAGGTGAACTTTTGTGAAGCTGTCATTTCTTAGATTGGATAGATTTTGTCCAATTAACTTCTAATAAGATGAGACATAAACCAAGGACTCTCATACTTATTGGGGCTGGTAGGAACAAGGAAACTCCCCTTGTGACAATCAATCAATCAATCAGTCCAACTCAAAATGAATTAAAGTCTTAAATTTAAGACCTGAAATCATAAACCACCAAGAAAAAAACATACGGAGTAAACTCCTTGACACATGTCTTAGCAATGATGTGGTGCCAAATCATTTGGATTTGCACAGGGAACAAAAGAAAAATAAACACGTGGAACAGCATCAAAGTACAAAGGGAAG